AAGGACTAGAGAATTATTTCAAGAACCCCGTAAGATATCCACATTTTATAAGAATGAATTACCATTTGAAGTAAAGCATGAAAATATGCTAGATTATGAATCTATCATTTCTATCAGTTGTAAAATTGATGAGAATCAAATAAGTTATTTTCTATCTATTTCTATAGATTATCCTGAACATTTCGATCTTTATTATATGTTACCTATACCGACTCTGATGCACAAATCAGAATTCGTCACTATTATCCCAAATTATTAGTATTTGCTAAAATCTGATCGAAATAAGATCAAACCCCTGCACGAGATTTGTACCCAAGGTAGAATCTATCAATGCCCTAATCGTATACTAGCCAATCACAAAGCCCAATGCGAGAAGTCAATAATTACAGAAGATCATACAGAACCATGTAGATACACGAAGCTTCAGATTGAAGAAAATCACATCGAATTTATTCCCAAAATTAACCAGTATTTAGCTGTATTTCTCACCGAAGAAAAATTGAAAATTAAATGCAAGGAGCAAATCGATACAAAGTCATTACTTGGCATTTTCTTAGTCAAAGCCAGTGAATGCCAAATATCATTCCAAGACAATGAACTTATCTTTCAAGACAAAACCTATGGAAAGCCCCTCGTAGCTGACAAAATGGATTTCCATTTTATGAAACAAAATATCCCAGAGGCACAAATTACTCTGAAAACATTAAATTTACCAGAATTACAAGTTAATCGGATGTTACCAATTTTAGAAGAAAATTCCATAGAAAATTTTGGAAAACCCAGTATTTGGACCATATCTCGTATTTTCAAGCATCTGCTGCATAATTTTATATAGAAGATGGAGAAACAAGAAAGAATCCAAGTTAGAAATCGACATTGAATTAGCCGAGATGAAAGAAGAAGGTCCAAGTCCCACAAAACGCACTAGAAGAGAAGATTCCAGTTCAAGATATAAGAAGAAAGAAATTCACCTTCCAGGGGAATCTTCATTCTAGGGGTGGAGGAGTTATGTACCAGTCTATAGCGAAGAATATGCTGAACAAGGACTTTTGCCTCCACGTTCCTTTCTTATCAGTTTCAGTATTGTATTTCATTTGTTCTTTACTTTGGTTTGTATAATGAACTTTGCAGTCAGTCTCGATTCAGAACTCATTCAATTAACATCATTGTATTTGGTTTTTCTCAAAAATAAATCTTTTTAAAAACGTTTTCGTTGAAGAAAGATATTTGAGTTATATACAGGGTGTCCGCAAAGTTGGGGTTTTCCTTTTCAGAAACAACTACCCTTGAAATAACAAAGGTAATGTGTAGTGAAACGAGGGCGACCAAGTAAAAAAAATAAAGGAAAAAGTACTCACTCTCCAGTTGACGAGAAGGGCTAAATACGTCTCTGCCCGAAATCATACCGCTCCAACAGAAAATGAAATCAGCTGATGCACTACCGAGCAGACGCACCATGCCAGCCCAAACATTCACCGAAAATGTTTGTTGAAAATGTGCCCGACGGACAGCGTGGATTTTCTACTGACCAAACATGAGTGTTGCGAAAGTTATTCACCCCATTACGCGTGAATGTAGATTCTTCTGTCACCAATATGCACTTCAAAAAGTCCGGATTATTGTCATGTTGATGCAACAACCACTCACAAAACCGCACTCTTTCTGGAAAATCGTCAGGTTGAAGGGCTTGTACACGTTGGACGTGAAACGGATACAGCCCCTCTTCACGCAGCGTTTGCCACACTTTAGTTTTTGGTACTTGCACTTCTCTAGCCACGTCTCTAGTGCTTGTTGTTTTTTGAAACGCAATTGATTATACGGGTTCGTTTACCTCTACACGCGTGACCGCAACCGTCGGTTGAAGGTTGCATACTGACCTGACACACTGACCCCGACCCCCGACCCAGTTCTGTCGTTGAGCCAGTGACATTGTACCACTCCGTGATGGCGCGGCTACAGGACGGTATTCAGATATTTTTGATGTTGCAGAGCCCTTTATCTCGGTTCCCTTAAGACATTGGTGTATATGGTACTAAGAAAAATTGCTTATGTTTTCAAGATCTACACGTCGTGTAAAGGAAACCCCAACTTTGCGGACACCCTGTATATATATATATATATATATGCCCACAAGGCTAATATTGTAAAACAAGGCGAGCACCTGAAATATCAGTCCTATTCAGTGTTTGACATTCCTTAAGCAGGGAATTGATTCCCACAGTTTTCTTGTAATTAGTTGTGGAATTTTCTGCCATGATGGTACAAAGTAATGAAGAATTTAACTTCATGCTGCAACTCCATTTTCCCATTTACACCTTGTAATGTCTCATAATTGGTGCTCCTACATGCCCATGCTCTTTTTAATATCCTGAAATCATGATTGTCAATTTACCATGGACTCAATTTCAGAACCTTTACACATTATACATACTTGCTTAGCACAGCTTGTCTTCGTAAGTGTTCATTCTTATCATAAAGGTTCTGAAATTGAGTCCATGGTAAATTGACAATCATGATTTCAGGATATTAGAAAGAGCATGGGCATGTAGGAGCAACAATTATGAGACATTACAAGGTGTAAATGGGAAAATGGAGTTGCAGCATGAAGTTAAATTCTTCATTGCTTTGTACCATCATGGCAGAAAATTCCACAACTAATTGCAAGAAAACTGTGGGAATCAATTCCCTGTATAAAAGTCCAGAAGCTTACAACCAAGCTGTTGTCTTGATGAAGGTTGGTAAGTTACAAAACAAATCATGGGATAATCATATTATATACTTATTGCATTATATTCAGCTACAAATATGTACAATGTGTGTATGTGAAGATTGTAATTACCATTTATCATTGTTATTTCAGGATGCTTGAAATACCATATCCATGTAGGATTACCTAATATGAAGTATTACAGGGAGTAAACACAGTTGTAGCATGAATTTAAATCAGAAAAACAGAAATTCAAATCTCAATACTAAAAGTTGTTAATTGATCTGGAACCCTAACTTAAAATTGAAAATCTATCAAAAGTATGGCATTTGAAAGGAAAGCATTTTCGGGTTGAAAAAGTAATATCAATAATTAAACTGGTTTGATATTTGAAACACTCATATGAAAAGCAGAGTTTGTTAGTTATGTTAGTAACAGCAAAAAAATCTTTGGCTCAAAAGTGTGCATTTACCTCTTGTAATACTAGGAGCTGCAATTCAGTGTGTTTCCTAATTGTACATGAGTGACGAGGCATTTCTATAAATTTCCACCAGTGATGCTATTAAGGAATCTCACCTGCTTATTTATGCCACTGATGTCTCTTTTATTAAAAATTTTAATCACTTGAATGTTTTTCAGTCTGATGTAGGGTTCTCATAAAAACTGTCTCTGAATATTGTTATATCACGATGCAGCGAAATAGTTTCTATTTTTTGGGTGGAAATCATAGGTCTGACTAAAAAAATTCTTTTCAAAAATACTGTTTATTTATACAAAGTGACATTGTGATACTAACGATATTAGGACCATGCAAAGAAACAGTATTTTAATTTCATAAAATTTGCTCAGAAATCACTGATGATTTTAAGAGCAATTTTTATTTTAAGAGAAATCAGTTGCCTACTATCATTGTCTGCCACAATAGGCAAGTGAAATTCGTACGAACGCCACGGGTGGGAATTCAAAGAATGTTGCATTAAAAATACCTCTTGATGTACATCTATGCCAAACTTTGATAAAGTATTTGAAGTGGTATTCCAGATCTTTACAAAAAAATTTATTAACTTTTGAAAAGTTTACCACTCTGTTTCTCAAAGGTGAAGAGATTTAGCATATACGTCATATGAAATATTCTTAAAATGGACTCAAAGTTACCCCCTTAAATATAGACATTCAATTGGAAAACAACCTGTATATTTTATGTAAGTAAATTAAAAATGAATAAAGGTTATTTTGATACACTGTTGTAGTTTTTCATTTTTGATATATATTTTCTGGGTGCAACACTTCTAATGTCACTGAGTATATATGAAATACACAATACTATAGGAAGAAATACACACCTACAGAATTTATAACATTGTGATGGATCACTAACAAAAGTTCTAGCTACTCATCACTGTTCTAAAAGTCTAAGAAAATTGTGTCAACCTAAACGATATTCTAAGGGTCTAAGGACGGCTATTTTGTTGCCTTATTTTCATGCTACCACAGTTATAAAAATATGCGGTTTTGATTGGCCAGACAAATATCGGAGATTATGACCCCACAACCCCTAGTTCGAATTTTCTAGCTTTCTCTCAATTGACAATGATTTTTCGCGACATTTTTTGTCTCGCGGCCAGCTGTCATGTATTTCTTTTATCAATACATAATATGAAAAACCTAAAAGAATATGTAAAAAGTGCTATAACGTTCGGTATAGACAAAAACACATAGGTCATTACTAGCTTCATGCCTTTTTTACTCCGTGTGATATACTCTCAAAGCTAAGGTAGGAACATTTGTCAGTTATCTGTCGATGGTACTTATGATCAGAATATATGGAGTGGTGGAATTCTGATATGCGCAAGTTGTTCTAAATACCTATACGTAAAATAACTCTGATTAGTCGAACTACTGCATTTTTTTAAATGTATGCATGATAGCAGGCCTTTCGTAAGAGGCTCTAGTACTTTACGAACAATGAGTAATATTTAACCGACATACGCTGACTGAAAGAACTTCATTGCATAAAATGTAACGAACCTCATTTTTGATCAAACTTCTCGGTCCTATATCTTGTAAACGTAGTTACCGTATTTTTGCATATTATTTATGTCCACAACACTAAGAGAAACAAACTTAATGGCCGATCGCGAGATAAAGAAGCAACGCCAAAATTGTGGACTGCCCTTTGGATCTTTGATTTATTGTCCCTGCAACTATATCTGGTCTAAAGTAATATAAAGAAATATCACTTACAAATTATAGAGTGTACAACCTTGAATTGTAATTATATTCCTATACTAACTGCTTTATTAGTTATATCACTCTTCGTGGGCTGGTGTCTCTTCGTGAACCAGTTGGAAGGTGTGGGGATCGATATGGCCTTTATGGAGCTAAGCTTCTCCTGGAGGATGGATATGTCGAAGCTGTTGGATCTGTTGTCCTTCAAATGACCTCGTCGTCGCGATATGCTTGGTTTATCTTTATGCTTCTGCTCCTTCTCACACGGGTTGATCTCCGTAGCTGATGTCGAAAGCGAATGCGAGATCCGGTCTGTGCTGATGCATACGATGCCGGACAATGCCTTTTTTGTTCCTGCAATGCGGATAAGAAAGTAGGATTGGGACAAACTCATCCAAACGGAGCATACATTATAGATATAGTTTGACAAAGTAACAAGTTGTCATAAAACATTCTTTATAATCATCCATGTTTGTCTGGCCGCTAAACGGAACCACATAATAATTTTTAGTTAGCGTGATTGGCCTGAGGTCAAGCCTAGACGATGCTGATGAGTCGCCGAAAATGGTAAGACTTATGTCCATGATGGACTGCCGCTGGGTGGACGGACAAAATCAGTATGTATAGATGGCAGCAACTCTTCGTTTTTAAATTTCAGAGAAAAATATCGAAGACTTTGTTTCAATCAAAAGCAAGTCTTTGTTCAGTCGACTCAAAACTGATATTTTCTCGACGAGTTTCCAAATTCATGCCCACATACTGATTATCTTCAACACAGTAGCAATAAGGTGCAAACACTGAGAGCAGTTAACGATACTGCATAAAGAGCAGTCAAGTTAATGCAAGACTTCCATGGCTTAATCACTGCTGATGAGGAACAAAAACAACTTTTATTACGATACGTACAAGCGCACGGGCAGGTATATCCTGAGTGTAAGAAGGAAACTTTGATAAGAAAAATAAATAAATAAATTTGTGTTTTATTTGTCGAATAAGAATTAGGTTTTGACATCCATACATGGTCTCCCTATTAACGTTCAAAGTCAAAGTTTGATCGGAAGTCGGTCACCGGATATCGTTCCCCGATTGCAATAATATTTACTTTTTGAGTTGTTAGAGTCAAATGGAAAAAAATTACAGGATATGCGTTTGAAAAAAAAATTTTTGAAGCACCCTATATATGGAGATGGACGTATCAAAATCAAATGTTGATTATACAGGGTGTTCCATAATTATTGCGACAAAATGATAGGGGTTGTAGAGGGCATAAAAATATGCAATTTTGCCTTATAAACCCCTGTTCGTAAATATGCCGTTTGAGCACTACAGTTAATTTTACCTTAAGAGCTCATAGGAGAAACAAAAAATTCACCAGCTGCAAAATGTTCGTCTAGCACATTTCATGGTCTCACCGGTTTGTAAAAAAAGCCTGCTGTGTTTACATTTTTGTTATCGTACACCCGTACCACCTTTTAAAAGTCCAAGCCATGGGTCCAGCAGACTATCTGCCGCGTCGACGTTTTTGTCGTTGGTGGCTGCAGCAGGAGTTGAGGCAACCAAACTTTGGTCGCTACGTTTTGTTCACTGACGAGTCCTGTTTTACAAAGGACGGTTATTTTAATAGCCATAACAGTCACATTTGGGATGAAGAAAACCCTCATGCCATAGCCATCCATAGAGACCAACATCAGTTTTCAATTAACATCTGGTGCGGCATTGTGGACGAGCATATCATCGGGCCATATCTGCTTCCACCACGTTTGGATGGGCATGCTTACAGCATGTGCTACCGGAACTATTACAAAATGTGCCACTGAATATAAGAGCCAACATGTGGTTTCAACACCATGGCGGTCCAGCCCACTTTTCTTTACAAGTGCGGCAGTATTTGGACGACAAATTTCCAAATAGGTGGATAGGCCGAGGTGGCCCTGTGCCTTGGCCTGCGCGGTCACTTGACCTGACCCCACTGGATTATTTTATCTGGAGCTATCTGAAAGCTTTAGTGTACGAAACTCCTGTTCCCAACCAACAAGAGCTACTGGGAAGAGTGATGGCCACGTCCGCACATGTTCAGGACATACCGGGGGTATGCCACAGAGTTCGCCGATCATTGAACAATCGTGCACAGCTGTGTATTGAGCAAGGTGGAGGACACTTTGAGCAATTACTGTAGGTAAGCTGTTTCAAGAAACTGATCTTTTTTTTTTGCTGCAGCCCAAACGGCATATTTCTGAACAGGGGTTTATAAGGAAAAATTGTTCAATCTGATGCCCTCTACAACCCCTATCATTTTGTCGCAATAATTATGGAACACCCTGTATATTATAATATTGCATAAAGTAGTACCTGATGTAGAGGGCTGAGGAAGCTCTAAAGTTCTGCGTTTGCTCCTACTAGGAATAGGTGCGAGAGTTGTACATACAAAGTCCAAAAACCTATTAGCAACATTGTTGATGTAACTCTGCACGGTCCCAGTTTCGTCCAAAGGTTGCAACTCGCACACTTTTTCCTTGCTGGTGTCCCACATCTTCATTCTAACCTTCCGTGTTTGGACAATATCATCCATGATGTCAAGCTGAAGATTGTGAATCCTGCTCCTCGATTCTGCCGAAGGTGGGCAGGCGATCGTCTCTCTCCTAGTATGTAATTAACGAGAGGTTTGTATAGGTTGCATACATACAACGTATTAATAATACTGGTAACAATAATAACATTTATTGATAAAAAAAGAAAGTATAACGTAAGTAGATAAAAGGAAACGACATACAATAAAGGATGGGGGCCCGAAAAAGTTTCGCAGAAACATGTGTCCCAGATTCGCTTCTCTATACAGGGATCTGGGCTGCTGTTATACCTACAGTAAAGGTTAAATGGGGAAAGATTTAGAGGACACTTAGTGCTTTAGATGGCCGGCTTCAGATTTACGATCGGTCGATTGGTTTTGGAAATATCAGCGAAAAAACAAAAATGTCGAATTTCGTTTTTTACCAGTAAATCCAATACGGTTAATTTTACAGCTGTCAAATGTGAGATTACTCCGACATTTTTTTTAGGAAAAAAAAGATAGCATGCACTACATGTCTCGATTGATTTTTGTTTTCTAACAGCCCGCCTCAACTTTCAGTTTTCTTATAGGCGACACATTGGATTTTTTGATCTTTAAAAAGAGTGTAAAATTTTCAGTCTAGTGATGTGTCTCAAGTGCATAAGAAATTGTAGTACCACCGAAATATCATCACACGTAATGGTGCGTATGCTTTTTTTTTATGGAGGCTATGATTTATTTGTCAGAAAATAACATTAATGAGCAAGGCATAAAAAACACATAAACGTCTTGAATTTTCAATAGAATATTAACGTTAATGTTGACTTCTGAACAAGTCAAATATTTTGGGAAAAATTCCCAACTATGAGTCACAAAAATCGTCGTAAATCTGTTTTACATGTCATGTAAAATCTAATTATGTAAGTGGGTATTAATTTATAGTTGGTGACTGTTTTTCGTACAACCTTAGCTAGTCTATTTCTGTTAATATTTCTAACTGTGCTGAAAATTCTTTGTCTCAGGATTTCTATATTCGCGGAAGGATCAAATTCATAGACCTCATTCTTTGTGTGACCCCAGAGGTAGAAATCCAAGGGTGAAAGATCAGAAGATCTAGGAGGTCAAAATATTGAATCATTTAATGAAATTATTCTTTCATCAAACTGCTTTCTTAAACAGTTCCTGACTTGCATGGTATTGTGAGCCGGACATCCATCCTATTGAAACCAGGTTCTTCTAAGCTCATCTTCGGTTATACTAGTTCGTAAAGCCGGCACAACCTGGTTTCGCAAAAGCTCTAGGTACCTCTGCCCATTTAGGTTGTAGTCAAATTAAAATGGTCCTACAATCCGATTTCCTGAAAATATTAATACCTAATTTCACATATGTTCCCAATTAAAAGATATAAGTTAGATTACATTATCAATAACCCCACACCAAACTTTAGTTCCAAATCTGGTCTGTAGACGTCTCTCTGTCACTTCGTGGGAGTTTCCTACAGCCCAATGATGAGTGTTGTGATTATTAAAAACTCCACATTTCTACACAAGTCTACTCATCGGACCTCAAGACATGATCTACTAAATCGAGATTTTCATTAGACTCCCCAGTATACCACTCGCGCATGTGCCTTGGAAAATCAATTTCCTTAAGTACTTCAACTATTGTAGGTTTGTATGGATGATACTTATTCATATTTAATACCATCTGTACTGTTGATGATTGACACACGAATTTCTCGTTCTATAGTTGTTACTGATGCACTAAGGAATTCGTTGACAGCTTGTTAATGTTCCTGTCGCGATTTTCATTTTCAATATTGTATCCGCTTCTAGGTTGTTCGAAGGCGGTTTATTAAGTTAACTACTATCTTTCTAAATTGGGTTGTATGAGGCTCCGAGGTTCGGGGTACATCTCCAAGTACCTTGCTGAGATAATAACGGCGTTTCTGTGTGACTTCAAGTACAGCGCTAATATGTCAAATTTTTCTTCATTTGAGCAGGGAGTACCGGCCATTTTCAACAGTTTTTGGCATTTTTTGTCAGATTTATTACTTCAGTGAAAGAAAACGTACCTACTACTTATTACAACACAATTTTAATACTGAATTATTTAACGTCAAAGTGAGAACCTCCTTAGATGAAAAAAAAATGCATTAGCTATTAATTTTATTTTCTGACAAATAAATCGTAGTCTCCTTAGAAAAAAATTAACACATAACATTACGTGTGATTATATTTTGAAGATACTCCAATCTTTTATACACTTGTGAGACATCGGTAGGCGGAAAATTTTACGCGCTTTTCAAAAATCGAAAAATGCAATATGGCGGCCATAAGGAAAATGAAAGTTGAGGCAGGTTGCTCGAAAACAGAAGGCGATTGAGACAATTCATTCACGCACTAAGTTTCCTCTAACACTTCCCAAATTTAATCTTTGCTGAAGGTATTACAGGAGCCGAGATCCCCGTATGGAGAAGCGAAACTTGGACACACTGTATACCGGGTGTCCCGAGCAGGTGCACTGTTTGAAGTACTCAATTGTTTATTCTCACGTCCTGTTTAGCCGGAAATTACTTTATCTTTGTTATTTTAAATGGACATCCGGTATATTTTTGCTTATGTGAATAGAAAATGGCATTCCGAGTACAATGATGCTTCATTTGCTACCTTTTGACATCTAACCTCCAAATATTTGTAATTATTAGTTTTTAGTCCAGTGTGGTAATGGTAAGTTTTTTCTTTAGTACATCTGTGGCGTTACCTCATTTTTTATCAAACACAAGAAAGTGTCTCATTGTCATAGCAACAAAGGAATTCTTTTCGTAAATAGTTATGTTTAATAAAGCAATTTTATTATTAACGTAATTACTATAATTTTACAAAACATTTCAATCTTAAGCAGAATAACGCACTGCTAACTAACTGAATTCTATATTCAATAATTGAAGGGTATGCCGGAACAACGTTCTAACCGACAGTTTGGTCAAAAGTGGGATTTCTATAAGACAAGGATCGATGTATCCATTCGCATAACCTCCCCCTCTTTCAAGCAGAGAATCACAAATTTAATCGGTGTCCAGACGTCTAAATGATTCAGTGAATCTTGATATCCACGTAACAACGTTGTATGTGCATGCGCCGACAGGTCTCAGCAAGTTTGTTTTCGAAACTACCACAGCCCACGTGGTTTCTCCAAGATGAAAGTTAGTTTATCAGAGTCTATTATTAGTCATATGAACAGAGGTAAAAAAACGAAAGCTAAAAATTGACACCTGGAAGCAGACTGTAAGAAAACATCAGAAGGATGCAGGAGAAGCATACATTTCATCGAGAAACGTACCTAAGGCTGCGTTAAGCCAGCCAGAAGAGGTAAGATTTATTAACACTTAAAAGTGTCCACAGGTGATGCACATTATTATCCAATTTTTCATAGTGTACAAAAAATGTTGACCGTTTTTTATGTAAGGTGTTTAATACACAATATGCAGCGTGGTCCCGAAATTTCACTTATGGCTTGGGCCTGTGACCATCCTGACAGTATGGGATATCGTGCAATGTGTGCATTTTTTTTTTAGGAACGTGACTGCAAATGTCCTCAAACCCCCAGAGGATGTAACGCCGATTTGCTCATTGGAAGACATGTGAGTCTGTTCCAGAAATTTAGGAAGCTTCATTATGATGGTCAGTCGCAATATCTGTCGCAAATCATATCCCTCCAAGAACCAAAACGTAGGAGAGTTGAGGAAAATATATCTCGTAGACATTGCACTGTAAAGTACAGTATTAATGGCACTCAAGTATGTAGAGGAACAGTTTGTTATATATTCTCAATTACGCCTAGAAGTTTACAGTGGCTTATTGGTAAACTTAAAGCGAACATGAATAACCTTCAAGATCAACGTGGAAAGCATCTCAATCGTCCTAAAAAGTTGAAAAACATGGACGTAGGTCTCATTTCCGATCACATCCGATCGTTTCCTCTACAGGAAAATCATTACAGCAGAAATACTTCAGCCAAACAATGCCTTCCAGCTGATCTAAATATCTCAAAAATCTTCAGACTTTTTAAGGAGAAATACCCCGATGCAAATAATATTTCCTTTAGGGTTTATCACGACATTTTCAAGAGCAAGTTCAATCTGCGATTTGGTCTACCAAGATCTGACACATGTTCGTTTTGTGACAAGCTGTTTATGAAACTTTGTTCAACTGATGACGCTAATGAAAAGAAAAAAATAGAAATCGAGAGTGAGATCCACCATAGAAAAGCTGAAGCGGGTTATAAAACATTGAAAGATGATACCGAGACCTCTAAACTCAATCCAAATTATGTTGTGTTGTGCACAGATCTGCAACAAGTGCTTTTTTGTCCCAATTTAACACATTCATCTGTATTCTATCAAAGGCAATTCTCAACATATAACTATGCTGTTCATAATATGGGGGAGGAAAACGCAACAATGTTACTATCGCATGAAGCAATGGCACATCGGGGATCTACAGAGATTGCTTCAGCACTACTATTCTATATTACTAACAAGTATAGTCGTCTCAAAGCAGGTGAAGAAAGAAAACTAGTTGCATGGTCAGACAGGTGTGTGGGCCAGAACAATAACTGGAAAATGCTGACAATGCTGCGACTTCTAGTTTTAGAAAAGTTCTTTACGCAAGTCGAACAAAAATTTCTTACGAGCGGGCATAGCTTTTTGCCGTAGAATAGAAACGACAAAAAAAAATCTCTAAAGTATTTGTTCCCTCACAGTGGGCTGATGTTGTCGCTAAGTCGAAGGTATCCAATCCATTTAAAGTGATCTTCATGCATCAATCTTTTTTAAGGATTTTCAGGCAGCGGAAAATGTTATATATTATAAAGATCCATCATTTAAAATCACCCAAGTAATGTGGTTGCAAATGACCGCAGATGATGTGAATACTTTACGAGTAAGAAAGTCTCACAACACACTTCAACCATGGTTTACTTACTTGTTGAAGTCACGCAAGAAATTAGTACAAGAAGTA